TTGCGCTAAAAGAATTTTTAATATCCTCCGTAGAGAATTCTTGAGGAACGTCTCTAATTACGCCAGAGCGAGAAATCCTGTAATTTGGTATGACTGCCTTGTAATTGATAGAAGCGAGCATGGGATTGGTAGCCAAATTATTGGCGGCAGAGGCAGATTTGCAATCGACGAGAATCTTACCATTTCCAAGCTTTTTCATTTCCAGTATGTCTGCTGCCGGCATGACCCTTCCCACTTGCGCGAACATTTTCATTGGGTGCGGTAAGCTAGCTCGATTATTAACGAGCGCGTGAATATGCACTGCGTACGAGGGTGTATCTTGATTAGAGTATACATTCGTCTTTTCCTCGGTCCTGCGCGATTTCGCCATTTCGTGACGAGGAGGATTCCCACGGTCCGTCGCTCGCGATGAAGCGGAGAGGGGGGTTGAGAGTTCAGATTCCGCATCTGACAACACAGCTTGCGAATTGCCTTCCGATTCAAAATGAGATCGTTTGTTACCTTTTTTGATGTTGATGTTAGCATTTCTAGGCAGCGGTGCGGAAGTTAGAGTCTCCAGGTCCATACTTTCCTCGCGGACGTCCGCCGAATTCGCGTTCCGAAGGTGAAAATCACTGCACTGTAATGGCATCTGCCCAGATTTCTGCTGCGTACTCTCGCTCGTCACATTCGAAACGCCGCATGCATCCACAAGAGAGGAAGAGGTTATGGGGGTTGAGGAGAGCTGAGAGATAGGGGAAAAAACGAGTGCCAGAGACGTATCCTGGCTCTGCGATGGTCCCATTTGCCCTTCGAAGCGCGAAAAACTGTTCAGCGGGATCGAGATAGTCTGGTGCGGGGGAGACGCGGAGACACGCGAGCCGGCGTCCCCTCCCCCCGCGCCTGTGCGCGAGGCCGAAGCCTCGGACATAGCACCTTTCAATCAATCTAGAACACGGTTTTTGAGGGATTCACGTGCCGGAATAAAAGGGGCTTACGCCCAGATATCGAACACCGAGAAAATACGGTTTCGAACGCGTAAAACTTGCGATAACACGGGAGAGAACAAAGACCCGTCCGTACTGTCACGAGCGCCACACGCGAATCGTAGAAAAAAAAAAATCACATTTGCACTATACTGATGCACTTTACTGACGCAGCTTAGTCATGGACGTAAAAATAATTAAGAACGAAACGTGGACCCTAAAATCGGACCCCAGGCATTAATGGCACGAACTGTACATGTACTGCAGCAGCATTGTAGTTTAATGTTATCTGAAACAGTTATAATTTTGGAGTGCTTTATCAATACCATAATCATCGTATTATTTATATCGCTATATATATTTGTATCGTCTTATTACCTTACTGAAGATTTTATTTTCTCATTTGTGATACTCCATCATTTCATGAAGCTTTCGGCCGTTTATAATAATCGCCGACGGCACCGACTTTTGCCTACGTAACGAAAAATCAGCATTCTTGGTGTGACGTGCTTGTTCAACAGGCTGCAACATACGACCGACTCTCCGATAATAATCCTTAATGTACAATAATTTGTACAATGTAATGTACAATGTAATGTACAATGTACATGATTTGTAATGTACAATGATTGTTATTCAAAATATGTGTTTGTAGTTTCTCTTGTGTTCTGAAAAACAAATTATATAATATATTCATTAATAACGTTAATAAATACATAAAATATGATAAATTACAAACTGGTTAAAAAACAATTACCGAATAAATGTTTTTCATAGAAGTTTGTATTAATTTTTC